AGATTCTCAGAAATCTTCATAGTCTTTTTCTGTTACCACGAAGTGACACCCACTTCAGAATTTTATAAAGTCTTTTTTCAATTAAAGAAATTCATAGGCACGTAACAGGGTTTCAGCAGGTACTGCCAAGTATTTCACGCACCTAAAACCCAACAGCATACAAACCCACACTGTTGTTACCAACACGTAGCCGTGCAACATCCTTTACTTATGAACCTTAAGGTCTTTTGAAAGTCACTGGGATTGTAAACAAGGAAGCAGACCTACAGAATGGTGGAAAGCTAACAGGGTGGGTTTGATCCCCCTCATCTGTAAGGGGCACCGCAAGGTGGTGACTGTATGGATGCTCAGGGCAGGTACGTCAGAGCCGCAGTGACAAAGAGCGGTGAGCTCAGGTGCTCAGCCCTCTAGCAACAGCTTTCATTCGGCTGCCTGACTTTGGGCACCCTTCCTGAAAGGGATCCACACCAATATCTGTCCCTGGACATAGGATGCCCTAAGTATAAGACTGCTTAAAAGCATACTCTTGGAAATCTCTGCTGGTGGCAGAGCATGAATGAAGCCCAGGATTGTTGATACCTGTGTTTCTAACCACAACTTCCTAGTCTTCCAAAACATCACAGTCCACTAACTTTGCGATTTATGGATCACTTGAAAAACAAAGAAAATCCTCTTTAGATAAACCGTACACAACCTGAAAGTCAATGCAGTAAGTACACAAGATAATAATCAAAACCAAATATCCACATAATCAAGAAAGGTTTTCACTACCATTTTGCTTGGATGAAGCAACACTTGTATGCATTTCTGTTTTGAACGAGAATGGGAATGTCCGTAACTGGGAGAGAAAGACAAAGTTAAAAGCAACAAAGTCATTGAATAGCCAAGGGCCCTCATTCATAATATCCAAGATTATATTCATAATGCAGTTTATAAAGATCTCGCAAATGGCTAGTACAATCTTCAAGTACTTCAATATTGAGCCAGGTTTTAAAACTATGGCAAACAACCCTCTGCTACCTTCTACTTACGATCATATGTGCCTGTAACAGACATTACTTAAAGACCTGATTCATACATAACATCAGCAGGTTGCATATTTAACTATTTCTAAACTATGCATTAAGTTTCTGGTAAGTGTAACCAGTGTCTCTTAAGTGAACTATTCCTATTAATTGTTTAGGCACTTCTGAGAACACTGTTGTTTGCAGGAAATCCTAGTGCTATCAAACGCCAATGCAAGTCTGATCCTGGTTAGCAGTTCACAATTAACAACACATATACTGAAAACAGAATTAAGAAACACTAAGAACGCATTGCAAAATAATGCTCAAAAAGTTCACTCACTGGCATGAGAGAATGGGCTATTGAAACGACCGAGGCACTGTGAAGAAATAACGCTTTTTACAAGTATTCCTAAAGTCACCTTCCAAAGTGCCTCTTGGAAGCCATTTATGCTCATGAGGTCATATCTGAAGGCTTGACGAAAGTGTCCTAATTCATACTAGTTGATATCCAACAGATTAAACACATGGATTTAAACAAAAGGAAATAGTTTCAGAGGATGAAGCATTACACAAACACAAGCATCTTTGGCGTTGAAGCTATGCAGTTTGATTGGAGTTTTATTGCAACATGTCCCTTAAGACAGAAAAGCAATTAAAAAGATGCATTTGAAAACAAAATGCTTTGTCTAAGAAATATCAGCCACCCCTATCTGTCTGAAAAAGAATGATTAAGGAAAAGCCCTCATCTGCTAGATCATCTACAGAGGTGAAACCTTTGAGGTTTACATACGGACAAGAGGTTAAAAGCCACTGCTTTAGAGTAACGGTAAAGGAAATGGACAGTTTTCCACCATCTGTTAACCAAGAACTTGCCCAGTCTCCAGTGTCTATCACTGAGGCCCTAGAGTCTAAGTTTAATGTCTTATTTAGCACTAGGATTCTATTTAACAGGATCCTAAGAGTCTTTGCTACTTCAGGCCTTCTCCTGGCCCTCTTACTCCTTACCTCAGCAAGTCTTGAAGGAATCATTGAGCAATTAGCAGGGGCTGGAAGCGAACAACATTGATGACTGTTCTGTGTGGATATTAACCATGCCAGGACTCATTTCATAAGAATGAGTTTGTCATTTTAAGTTGCGCAGAGCGTTGTGTGCCAGATGACTTCTGCCTTCCTCCCTGGAGACGGCTACCGAGCCAGCTCTGAACAGATGCGGCTTTACAGACCACCACCTTCTGGAAGCATCAGAAAGTCAAAACACTGTTATGGCCTCCAAACAATTTGTTTCTCTCTTTAAAACAACACACACACACACAAGCCCTATCTCCACTAGGAAGCTGCAGAGGCCCTAAGCAGCAGCTTCCAGCTCCTTTGTTCTGCTCAACTTGTGAGCCCAGGAGAACTTGCCTCCCAGCTGCAGAAGTGGGAGCTCTTCCCTCCCTTTTTTAGCAGGGAAGAAAGATGCCGTGGTGCAGTAGCATCAGGCACAACAAGGATATTCCACCATCACTTCCCAAGTGTTTCCCTAACAGCAGGCTGAAGAAAAGTGCCTTTTTTTCCCCCCCCTCATAGGCCAACTCATGCTTTCCTTGCTGAAAAAAAAGTTAGCACAATTAATGTGAAGAGAAATTAGACCAGAGGATGGGAGATACGGGAAGAGCTGACCCCGTGCCTTCTCTTATTAAACTAAACTTTGTTGCTTTGCATACAATCCATAGAATATTAAACTCTACATACTCTGGAGCTGGCCTGAAGCCTAACAAAACTGGAACCACCCCATCCTTATTGGCTTTATATAGATAGGTACAGAAATATACAAAGTTGAGATGATTCATGCTCTCTGAAATGAAGGGCAGCGGCACAGCTTTGCTTAAGCAGAGATATTCATGGGAGCAGGCAAAACAGACCGAGCACTCTGATGGCTGGGAAAAGCCGCTGGACGTTGTTCTTGGTAGCTATCAAAAAGGAAGAGCATTACTGGAAAAGCGGGTAGGGCAGCCGATCCCACCGCTCACAGAGGAGACTGGAAGGTGCCTGGACCCAACAGGGTCAAGCTCTTCCTTTGAATTGCTAGTCAATTAAAACAAAGCTTGTGAAATAAATGGGCCATCAAATCCCTAAAATTAAAATATACTGTTCCCACCCACCATAAGAGTTGTGAGCTTATTTCTCTTTTGGAGGTAATTACCAATTCAAGTTATTCTAGGAGCTTCTCTGCATATGACACAACCACAGGACAAGGCAAAGGCAAGGTACAGTGTCAAAATTTAAAAAAAAAATCCAAACCACATAAAAATATGAGTATTATGCTTCTTAAAAGGCAAGAAATGCTCTCCACTTATAGACAAAAAGTACTGCTGCTCACTCTGAAATGGAAACTCAAGATATTTTTAGCAATTTTGCTACATTCCACTTTTTTTTTTAAATACAGAAGTGACACTTCAGTGCTTTAATCAAAACATTGCTTCAAAAATGCACAAATAAAACTCAAGTGCCCAAGTATTCTAGAAGTATTCTGAAAGTATTTTGAAATTTTTAATAATCACCTCAGGATGTCATAGTTCCTAAGAAAAAACTAGATTATTTTCCAAAAATTTGATCTCAGACAGAGACTGGTGATACCAAACTAGAGAACGACTGTAGATTTAAGGGTGCTGATGTAATTTTTGAACACAGAGAAAGCAGTGTCAGATGAGACTATTGCGCTACTTCATAGACTCAAAATTCATTGTAGTGTATTTTTGTGTTGCACTAATGAGATGCCACTCTCACTGAACAGCTATACAGACGTCTAACCTCCAGAAGCTGGGATAACCATATGACAAACTTCTGTGGTTTTGCCACTTGATATTTTGGGTGTATGCCTTCATTTGTGATAATAAATATCAGGCCACAAACTAATGTCTCCTCAGATATCTAATATGTTTAACACTCAAAACAGCTTGAAAATCTAAACATTTCTGCTGTTAGCTTTGAGTTCTCCTCAAAGAATTATGCTACAATATATACCAGATGAATAGGCTAGGGATAACACAACCGTTGCCAGTTGTTAGGATGGGTTTCTCTGCCATTCTGTGTCTATATTTTTTTTATCCTGCAGTGTACACAAAGTTCAAATCCCCTCCCCTCCTCAACACCTTCATCAGGAAAATCTAAATCCACTGTCCTACCACACATTTCAATATTGAAAATTTGAAAGTCGCTCCTAATCCTATCTTGCGTATAAGTAGGTACAAAGAAAGGCTTGTACGTACGACATCTGCAGAAACAGACAGACTAGTACTATGTATTTTAAGTATCAATTAATAGGCCCCAAGGCATTTTCTTCACATTGCTAAGTTAAACAAATGACACAGCATCAGCCAGCCAGTCTGGAACAGTGAAGGCAGCACAATGCAACCCCAGCTTCTCATTTAGAGAAGCACCTTAATCACAGCACACTTCCTTCTGTATATAGAACGTATTTGTATTATGTACATTAGCTTCTGCACCTTCACAGCCAAACAACTAATCTGGAGAAATTCCTGTAGCTTAAACAAAGCCAACGGTGTTACAGATGTCTTCCAAAATTTGGTACCGTTACAGTACGCATCTAAGAGGAAGGGCTTTTGTGGGACCCTTTACAGACCTGGGGAGTTAGCATTATGGCTGACTAAACCCACAGGATGTATCTCGGAGGTCTGGCTCCATTCTGAAAAAGGCCAGAACACCAGAACTGCAAATGAAGCAACGCTGAATACAATTTTATGTGGTATTGCTAGAAAAGCCCTCCCTCCTCCAACAAAAACAACAGCAACCGCTATCCTTTCCTCTCTTTCCAGTCTCTCAGCTTATACAACTTCAGACTTGCAATGGAAAAAACATACGTACGTATATCTACATAAATATAAAAGCCAATCAGTAGGGTCAAGTGTCTCTCTTTACAATTATGTTTCCAGAGTTGTCTCCAATCAAACTAAAGCTCCAAAACCAGAACTATCACATTAATGGTTACTTTTCTTTATTATCTACAAAACCTTTCCTGGCCAAAGTAGTAAAGACTCTATAGGAGTCCGATAACTTTACAAGGTGACGGCATTTCTGTGTTTATTGTAAGCCATTTCTATTGCGAATTGCTAACAATTTTTCAAAGTGCAACACTGATTTGGAAATGCAGGCACACTAATACATCAATTGCCATGACTAATGTATAAACTTTTAATGACCTTGGCAAAATCTTTCTTTCATTGGGCAGGTGCCACTATTTTGACTGTACAAAATGTTTTGGAAATATGTTGAAAATTATACATGTTTTGGAAAATATTTCAGGATTTCAGTATAGCAAATGAAGCTATATTAAATAAAAGTTTGGCATGGAGGAGAAAACACTCCAAAGTTGTGCAAGTCCTTTTTTTTAAAAAAGGAGACATCCTCCAAGTGTTGTACATTCACAGAATGTCGACTTTTTAACCAAAGTTAAGAAGATAAAACATTATCTTGAATGGTTTTCAGTTTCATTCAGTCACTCTCATCATCTTGTTTCAGACCACCTCCTTGTTCAGTATTGCCATCTTCATCGCTTTCCTTGTCCCAGTCTTTCATAGATGCTCCCATCATGAAGTCATCACGCAGTATATTCCATTCTGGCCCCTCTTCAGACTTCACTTCACCCTGAATGTTTGAGGAGAGGAGAAGAGGGAACAGAGGATGAGATGAATATGAAAGGCAGTAGAAGATGGGAGCTCTTCATGCAATCAAAATAATACCTCTCACACTCTTAAAATTTGCATCAGCAGACCTAGTGAGGGCTAGCTCTTCATGCAAATGGTACACAAAAATATGCAGGACAATCATAAAGGACTTGATGCTCATAAGCAAACTTGTTTTAACCAACCAATAAAATAAATATGGAAACAAAACAATTATTCCTCATGGATGAAACGGTCAATCCTGGGCATGGCTTCCTTTATTAAAATCTTTCTTGGCAATCAGAATGGATTCATGATATCATTTATTAACCCCCAGGTGCTGCTTCATTAGAACGCTTCTTGGCACATTTCTAAAACACAAATATGGATTTAATAAAGACTTAAAAAACCCCAAATTTAATATTTAACATATTCTGTGATACGTGAACCAAATCCCCTTTATGTGGATTATTACCTCACTACCTGGGCTTGTCATATGGTGCAAAGCTGCCTTTTCTAAAAGAAACAAAGTTGATCTACACTCAGCAAGCCAACAACACCTTACTCCAAATTTCCTACCTCTTGAAAGTGGATAAACTGAGGCCATACTACATGGACTGGTGAATAATAAAGAAAAGTGACCGGAGTGTAGTTTTAAGGTTAGCACTGAAAACAGTGCTTGGTTGCAGTTCTTCTAAGTGACAGATCATATTTGGGCAGTGCAACAGCCCCATCCTGTGGCAACAGTTTCACAGAACAGCTTGAAGCTATTCTTACTGAAGGAAAATACTAAAAACTGTTCAGCAAAGGATTACAGTGGTTTAAATCTTCACAGCAAAACGCTTCTGAGGAACAACGTGGCTCAGTGTCCAGCAGGCAAGCAAAAAAAACTGTCCTACCAAAGTGGAATCAGAGGCACTGAAAAAAGTAATTTACTTCTGCAGGGTCTTCGAAACAAAGTTTATAATACAGGCATCTCGGGTGTGCTTGTCCCACTCCCCTGCTCAAAAGGGCAGATCTCAACTGAATACCCATCACCTCCTGATACTGTACAGTGGATGGGCGTCATCTGTTTGTTACAGCATCCTCTGCAGACGCAGCGTTGCCTACTAGATGCAAAACCTGAAGTAAATGTATGATCGCTCCAGACATTTGTTCATGACTCTTCTTTGTCATGCATCTAGGAATATGCAATACATAGAACCATAGCGTATTTAACTCATGTCCATGCAATCTTTGGGAGAGAGCAGCTTAAACAATTTAACAGCAGGAGAAAGGAGGATTAGAGAATGTGGGTCCATTGCTGTAAATCTAACACATCGTATCACACCAACAAGAGTTATTTGAGTGCAAAAAGTCTGCCAAACAAGATATGTTTTTTAATAGCAGAAATGCTAAATGTGACTTCTCCAGTTTTTTGAAACATTACTCGCACAAAAATAGGATAACATGTCTTAACACTTTCCTTCCCAAAAGGAATCCCCCAGGGTACAGTTCAAAAAATAGAGAAACTATAACTGTTCCTCAAGATGCTTACACTGTGTGTTGTTTTGCAGTGGTATTTTTTGTCTTTGCAGCTGCTCTCATTAATGCCTACTCCTAAGAGTAACTCTCCCATCCCAACAACCCCTTTTTCCCCCAGGGTAGCGCCTCCTAACCACCTTCCACTCTTGCAGCAATTCACTACAAATGCTGTACCCAGGTAAAGCCTGAAATCATCTCAGACAGGGTAATCAGTTACCTGGAATTTAAGAGTTACAGATAAGGTAGCTGCCTAGGTAGACCTTAAGATGTTCACATGGGAATAATCTGCATTAGTGCAAACACAGGTACTCTCTTCTGGGACACAAGGAGAGGGTAGCTTTCCCCCTCTCACCCCCCGCCCCCCTTTTTAACCAGATTTCAGTTGGTTTATGTTTACCTTTGCAGAGTAGAGAAAGGTCGAAAAGATTAGAAAAGTCACCAAGCTTTTTCTTTTTTAATCCCAGACTCTTTATAAATCACTCTTTGAACATGCCACGGAGTAAAATTTGAAATATCTAAATGGAAAAATCCCATCTTCCTTACAAAACAATTCAATTTTTGGGTTTTTTTTTTTCCCCAATAATAAAAAAAACCAACAGAGATTCCTTTTTTTTTTTCTTCCCCCAGAGAACAGGGTTGTTATTTCTTTTTAAATCTATTTCTTTTTTAACCAGCACAGCAGCAGTAGATTATTGTCAGCAATGACAGTGAAAGGCTCAGAATTGGAAAAGCCCAATGCTCAAATTCATCACAAGCCACTATTCAGCAACCATTAGCCCTTCTTTCTGGCTATATCAAGTGAACAACAGGACAAAAGCAGGACCTCAACAAAAGAGGGATGCTGATCCTCCATAGCATTACCCGCTATGCAGGGCACCAAAAAGGTTTGAATAGAGTTTTACAACAAGCCCTAAGGAGAAAGACAGTTAGCATGTCCATGCCTTAAAGACGAAGATTAAATGCCTGAAAGCAAATATTTAATCAATTTTAAGCATGCTCCCAAGTGAAGAAACCCCCATATTTAGTATCTTCATTCCTACCTCATTTACTGCTCTATTTCCCCCCTCAGAATAAAAATTACCTAAATCTATTGTATCACAAAGCATTCCTGGAGTCTTAAAAAACATGCGGGAAAACTATTTATATAATTAACAATTAGTTCAACTGTAACATTGCTTCCCAACTTGCTTCATGTAAGAATGTTAATACACTTGGGTTTTCAATGCCATAATCTGGTTTCATCTAAATAAAACAAAACCGATTCTTGGCACATGGAAAATAAACCAGCTTTCATTCTATACAACTGCTTTTGAACTTCCAGTCAGCTGTTCATCCACATGTCTCACATTTCACTACAACACTGAAGTCCCCTTTGAACATCCCCAAACAAAAACAAAGCAGGCTATATAAACATCAGTGTGTAATGCTACATAAAGTGGATCCTTCAGTAAAGCAAGGAGTGAAAAATTCTGGTGTTGCTTTTTTTTTTCCCCCTTCTTTTTTTTTATATATATATTTGAATGGGTTTGTTCTTTGCCTGAAGGTGTGGCAGACCTTCAAAAGGTCTGAGAGGCAACAGTTAGTAAAATATCTCAAGGAGTCCATGGTACATGGTGATACACTTGTTACCATGAGCTGAAATAAGACAGACCAAAATGCACACTGTGGTTACTCTAATGCAGATACTTACTTGCTGGGACAGATCGATAGTCCAGTTGAAAAGAGATCATGTAAATAAACCAAACAGCACCTTGTCTGCTTGGTGGGCCACCTAAGCTATCACAGCATTAGCTCAAGTCCGATACAAGTACGGCTCTGCAGTGGGGACATCCTTCCCAAACTAATTCTGGTTTGGAGACATAGCCTCTAAAGTCTGCACCAGGACAAGATGAACTGAGATTCTTAACCAAATCCTAATAAAACCACCCACCCACTCATCCAACAAAGCTTAGGTCCGTCAGCTGGAACAAACAGCTGTCCCTTGCATGATCCAGGCTGGAATTACCTCCTGGATGCTTCTGGAGGAACTGGTCTATGAAAGGCCTGTGGCATGAGCAGCAGCAGCAGCTATATGATCAAGATCAAGTTAGAAGTCTCCCTGGTTTAGTTCATTTCTTTAACACTACAAAAATCTGGAGCTACGTAATTCACTCTTGGTAAATGACATTACAGTAAGTATCTTCAACTGAGACCTGCCAACCTCAACACTGGAGTTGTGGCAGACTGCACGGCCACTCAGGCGGAAGATCAAGCCTCTCTACCCCTTCCGAAGCTGTCAGAAGCAGCAGCAAGATACTTGTAACTGCACATAGCTGCTTCAGCCTGCAAACGAGCGCCTTAGCTCAAAGCCTGCTTCCTTTGAAAGCTTAAGGGAATTAAGTTCAGTCTAAGTCACGGGACATTGTCATTTTCATCTGTTGCTTTACTGGCACAGCAACATACTAAAAACAGAGCAGGAAAGTTTGCCAGAGCTTTTCAGAACCCTACACATAAGCAGATCAAAGTCCCATAATACTTATTGGTAAGTAATGGCATTAAAAGACATGTCTGTAAATCAGAGCGCACAGATTAAAGACAGTATTTCACTCTGCTACCCACCAGCTCGTGTCACTTTAACGTACCCCAGTTTCTGCATCTGCAAAACAGCAAACATACCTGCATCACCACAGAGATTCCCCTCCAGCCTGCGTCCAGAAGACGCTAACTGCAGGGTATCAACAAATGAACATTTTTCAGACCTAGGAATTATAATCAGCATATTGGACTCCCACGCCTTTGCTCCGTGTACAAGATGAAATGCCAGAGCTTGCAGGGGCATCTCTCTTTACCATCACATCCAATAAACGTTTATTTGTACCTGTCAGGGAAGGAATTTCTAACACAAATATCTCAAGCAACAACTTTAAGCCCTAAGAAAACAATTCTAACTTGTCTAATTAATTTGAACTGCCTCCCCAGGTTCCTCTGTTTTGCTCAATACAAACATCTAAGACCTTGAAATACAGGGAGGCTTTTGTCATGACAAAAGTTAAAAAGTGTAACTGCCAAAATGCGCTCTCACATACATCAGCTACCTTCCCTGCCAGCCTGCATCTTGCTCAGAATGACTGCTGCTGTTCTGGTTCTCATCCTCAAGTTAGTTGGTTTAAACCTAGCTCAAAAATAAAAAAACCAGCATAGGCATACGCTGAGGTGTGTTAAATCTCAAAAAAAAAAAAAAAAAATTAGTTGATAGAAGGGCGAAAGAAATGGAAGACAAAGAACACCAGCATAATCATTTTTCCTCAATTTGTTTTTGGGAATATTCAAGCTTACAGGCTAAGAAAACAAGTTTCCTCTAGGCTGGGAAGAAATAAAGAAAACTGCATCTCAAGTATATAAAGCGGCAATATAAGCAGAAAACAAAATGTAATGATTTTTAACAGAAAAATTATACTTGGGTTTAATCATCAGTGATGC